TCAGCGTGTCTCAGTGTGTCTCAGCGTGTCTCACAGTGTCTCAGTGTGTCTCAGCGTGTCTCACAGTGTCTCAGCGTGTCTCACAGTGTCTTAGAGCGTTTCAGAGTGTCTCAGAGTGTCTTAGTGTGTCTCAGCGTGTCTCACAGTGTCTCAGAGTGTCTCAGCGTGTCTCAGAGTGTCTCACAGTGTCTCACAGTGTCTCAGTGTGTCTCAGAGTGTCTCACAGTGTCTCAGAGTGTCCCTGTCTCTTGCAGACATGTCTTCCATAAGGTGTGTGTGGATCCTTGGCTGAATGAACACTGCACCTGTCCCATGTGCAACTCAACATCCTCAAAGCCCTGGGCATCATGGTGAGTCACCGCTGACATCACACCTGAGGACAGGTGTGATGTCATCAGCAGCTGTGCGACATGTGTGATGGATGACTGTGTCCCTCTGGCCTCTGTCTCAGACCAGTCTGCCCTGTGTGGACGCCGTGGTTCTGGATGTGGACCGACTGGGTGTCGGTCAGACATCCGGCAGCCAGAGGGCGCCGCTGAGCGACCAGAACCAGCCGTCCATCAGCCTGGAGCCGCTCAGCCCCCCCCATGCTGAGACCGCGCCCAGAACGCCCGCCGACATCACCGTGGCCGTAACCAGTAAGAACCCAGAAGATCAGAACGCTTCAACTTCACTGCAGAGCAACACGTCTAATCAATACGTCTAATCAATACGTCTGATCAATACGTCTGATCAATACGTCTGATCAATACATCTAATCAATACGTCTAATCAATACGTCTAATCAATACGTCTGATCAATACGTCTGATCAATACGTCTGATCAATACGTCTGATCAATACGTCTGATCAATACGTCTGATCAATACGTCTGATCAATACGTCTGATCAATACGTCTAATCAATACGTCTGATCAATACGTCTGATCATACGTCTGATCAATACGTCTAATCAACACGTCTGATCAATACGTCTAATCAATACGTCTGATCAATACGTCTGATCAATACGTCTAATCAATACGTCTGATCAATACGTCTGATCAATACGTCTAATCAATACGTTTGATCAATACGTCTGATCAATACGTCTAATCAATACGTCTAATCAATACGTCTAATCAATACGTCTAATCATACGTCTGATCAATACGTCTGATCAATACGTCTAATCAATACGTCTGATCAATACGTCTGATCAATACGTCTGATCAATACGTCTAATCAATACGTCTAATCAATACGTCTAATCAATACGTCTAATCAATACGTCTGATCAATACGTCTGATCAATACGTCTAATCAATACGTCTGATCAATACGTCTAATCAATACGTCTAATCAATACGTCTGATCAATACGTCTGATCAATACGTCTGATCAATACGTCTGATCAATACGTCTAATCAATACGTCTAATCAATACGTCTGATCAATACGTCTGATCAATACGTGATCAATACGTCTGATCAACACGTCTGATCAACACGTCTGATCAATACGTCTGATCAATACGTCTAATCAATACGTCTGATCAATACGTCTGATCAATACGTCTGATCAATACGTCTGATCAATACGTCTGATCAATACGTCTGATCAATACGTCTGATCAATACGTCTAATCAATACGTCTGATCAATACGTCTGATCAACACGTCTGATCAACACGTCTGATCAACACGTCTGATCAACACGTCTGATCAACACGTCTGATCAACACGTCTGATCAACACGTCTGATCAATACGTCTGATCAACACGTCTGATCAACACGTCTGATCAACACGTCTGATCAACACGTCTGATCAACACGTCTGATCAATACGTCTGATCAACACGTCTGATCAACACGTCTGATCAACACGTCTGATCAACACGTCTGATCAATACGTCTGATCAATACGTCTGATCAATACGTCTGATCAATACGTCTGATCAATACGTCTGATCAATACGTCTGATCAATACGTCTAATCAACACGTCTGATCAATACGTCTAATCAATACGTCTGATCAATACGTCTGATCAATACGTCTAATCAACACGTCTGATCAATACGTCTAATCAATACGTCTGATCAATACGTCTGATCAATACGTCTAATCAATACGTCTGATCAATACGTGAACCAACAAACTTCAGGCTCATCCATGCAATAAATTGAGAAACTTTAAACTGATGCTGCAGTTTCACACCAAACTGCAGCATCACATGCAGCATCACATGCAGCATCACATGCAGCTCACATGCAGCATCACATGCAGCATCACATGCAGCATCACATGCAGCATCACATGCAGCATCACATGCAGCATCACATGCAGCATCGTACTGACGTGTAAAAGTTCAACAACTTTGAATGATTTTAAATCCAAACAACCAGAACTTGATGTGAAGTAGCTCAGATGCTAACGGCTACGTCTATCGATAGGTCCAGGTAAAGAGCTGCTCCGTTCACCTGTTCAGGTAATGAGACCCGGTTTACCTCCAGAGCTGCAGCTCTGCTCAGAGTCACCATGGATTGGGTCCTGGTTCTGGTTCTGGTTCTGGTACCGGTTCTGATGTTTTCTGCCTCTGCAGGTGGAGGTCACTTCTTCAACAGGAGCTCCGCGTCTCCTCGGAGCATCGCCTGTGAGGTGGAGCTGCCGACATGCAGGCGTCGCTCCATCTCCACGACGACAAGTCCTGAGACCGGTCGCCATGGTTACAGCCGCACGCCAACACCGATCCCCCACGGCGGCGGCGGCGGCGGCGTCCTGCCAGGGGGGTTCTTGTTGGAGAGCGACCGCCTTCAGCCACTGAAAGACTTTACTGACATTCCCAACAATCCCAAGTTTCAAACTGGTCCTGTTCCTTTAAAGCTCCTCTCCTGTTTCTGGATCAGAACCGCCCGGCCTCACTTCTCAGTGTCTGTGGAAATGACCAGGATGTAAAACGTTCAGGGTCCCACATGTTCTAGATGCTAAAGAACTGAAAAGCCAAACGTTCCGGTAAAGACGCTGGGAATGTTTTCTTGTGCCTGAAGAGATTTGTGTCTCCTGCTAAAGGTTCTAACTTCCAGAAATCCTTCCTTATGCTGAGCCTCGGTTCTGAAAATGATGCTGTTTTTTTGGATCAGTAACTCAAAACCTGACCAGTTTCTACAAACCTTTAATCAAGGAATCAGCAGATCAGGAACGTCTGAAACCTTCCTTTGGGGCGGAGCTCTGCCTGCTGGAGGGGCGGAGCTCTGCCTGCCGGAGGGCGGAGCTCTGTCCTGGAGGGGCGGAGCTCTGTCCTGGAGGGGCGGAGCTCTGTCCTGGAGGGGCGGAGCTCTGTCCTGGAGGGGCGGAGCTCTGCCTGCTGGAGGGGCGGAGCTCTGTGTGCTGGAGGGGCGGAGCTCTGTGTGCTGGAGGGGCGGAGCTCTGCTGGAGATTGGGGCTTCAGGGACCGTATTCCTTCCTGTTCTAAAACATTTCTGGTGTTCTAGCAGGAAATCCCGGTGAGGACGCTCCTTCAGGGACGGACTGCTGCTTTCAAGTGTATTCTGAATTACTCAGCGTGTATTAATACTTATAATCAGTATATAAACAGCATTAAAGAATCTATAATCCGATTGATTCAGCAGTAATAAGTGACCTGAAAATGTCCGGAGACACCGAGGTGCTGTCCACATCTCTCTGTCTGTCCCTGTCTGTCTCTGATGATGATGGTGATGATGGGGGTCCTCTGTGTGTTTACTGCTGCAGCATCACGTCTGATTAAACGTCATTAAAGCGTCTGCTGCATTCACTGCAGTTCGTCTCCTTCTTTCTGGAAGTTCATCCGTCAAAACTTCCCAGGAGAATCATTCACATTAAAATCAGTTCACTGAGAGAAAAAGAGCAACTTTTGGATTTACTCTGTAGAGACTTCTAGAACTTCAGATTTTTATCAAACTAAAACATTTGCAGCATCTCTATGAAGTTGGATTTAAGCTCTACTCTCCACATGCAAAGGCCACTTTTAATCAGTTACGGTTAGAGCTGCAACATTGATTTTTGTCAAACATGTTTCCACTAAAGCTTCTATTGTTGACATGAGGAGCAGCCATGTTGGATTTTTAAGTCAATTTTTTCAAGGTTGACATCAGGGAGGTACTTTCAGTTGATTTTTCTGACTCATAAATAGGATTTTCTGAGTTCAGTTGGAATGCAGCATAGGCTGCTGTTAGCATAACAGTTAATGTTAGCATATTTTAGCGTTAGTCCATAAATCTGAAACTGTTCACATCTTTGGATATGGCCACAAGCTAATATTAACATAAGATATGTATTAGCTTATGATGTCCTTAATTGCATAGATTACAGCTAGTTAACATGCTAGTATCTGCCAGTATGCTAATATTAGCAAATTAGTTAATCTTATAAGGTAAGCTAGTTATAACATTACCTGTTCGATATTATCACTTTAGGTTCTATTCACAATGTCTTATTTTTATGTTTAGCTAACATGCTAATCAATAACTTAGCTAATATTTGAGATGTTACATTTAACAACTACCATCTAAAATGTGTGTCTAAATGTTGAGTAATCAATCATGTTATTGGTTACTGGCCAGTGTTAGCATGTTAGCATGTTGATTGAAACGGTTCCTAATTGGACACCAGGGTTTCTTCAGAACCGCCTACTTGTTTCTGCATAAACTTTTCTTTTTTTCCAGCTGTCAAGATTTTTTTTTTCTGTGAAACTTTTTTCCCTCAGTTTGTCCAGTAAAAGAATTTCATGATAATTTCTGTAACTTGAATCCCATGATTTGTCTAATTGATTTATTTTTACTGGTCAGGTTAAAACTTCTTCTCTTACAAACTCATTTTGCGGATCGATGCAGCGAATTCCTGATCATGAACAAGAAATATTAAATATGAAAAATATTGCATCGTCCGCCATATTGCGCTCGTGTTTCCCGTTAGAAACATGTTGACGTCATGTCGTACAGCACGTAGAAGGCGTGGCCTGACGTGTCACACCGGAAGTGATGCAGAGTCATCAGACTCGCTGAAAACAACAGAGCCAGGACCTGACAGAACCTGGTTCCGGGTCTTTGGGTCAGCGCAGCGGGCCGCCATGTGGATCGAACCGGAGGAGGTTCTGCTGGCCGGGGCTCTGTGGGTCTCGGAGCGGGCCAACCCGTTCTTCATCCTGCAGAGGAGGAGGGGGCACGGCCGCGGAGGGGGGCTGTCCGGTAGGTCCGGTTCTGTTCGGTTCTGTCTGAGGGCTGCTCGGTCCGGTCCGGTTCCACTGATGGACACCGTTCTGGCAGAACCACCAGGTAATGCTCAGCAAACCGGGTCGGTTCGGTTAGCCTGGTGGATCTCCATGGCAACACCAGGCGCGGTTCCGGATCGTTAGATGCGAACCAGAAACCCGGTTCCGGACGGGCGCTGACGTCACGAGGGCTCAGCTGACTTGGTTGAGTTCCTGGTAACCCAACAGGTGGTTTTATGTTTCACCCTGTGAGGTCAAAGGTCACTACAGGAACCTGCCAGTGTCCGCCAGTCCCTAGAACCAGAACCAAGAACACTCGGTTCCTTATGGACCGTTCTAGTGCCCTATGTTGACTGGGGCACCGAGGGGTGGAGGTCATGGGGTCATGGGTCGATATGTAGAGTTGGATGTCTTCAGCGTAAGGTAGAAGTTGTTGTAGTACCGTCTAATCTGCGCTAGAGGGCGCTGCAGCGGGGAGGTCCTGAAGGCGTCTCCTGGTGTCTCTGCAGGCCTCCTGGTGGGACGCTGGACGTGGTTCTGGACTCCAGCGCCAGGGTGGCTCCCTACAGGATCCTGCTGCAGACCGCCGACTCCCAGATCTACTGGAACATCGCCTGTGGTGAGCAGGAGGACTGGAGGATGGACTGGGGGGACTGGGAGGACTGGGGGGACTGGGGGGACTGGGAGGACTGGGAGGATGGACTGACTGGGAGGACTGGGTGGACTGGAGGACTGGGGGGACTGGGGGACTGGGGGGACTGGAGGACTGGGAGGACTGGGAGGACTGGGTGGACTGGGAGGACTGGGGGGACTGGGGGACTGGGAGGACTGGGACTGGGGGACTGGGAGGACTGGGGGGACTGGGGGACTGGGGACTGGGAGGACTGGGAGGACTGGGGGACTGGGGGGACTGGGAGGACTGGGGGGACTGGGAGGACTGGGTGGACTGGGAGGACTAGGTGGACTGGGGGACTGGGGGGACTGGGAGGACTGGGGACTGGGGAGGACTGGGGGACTGGGAGGACTGGGGGGACTGGGGGACTGGGGGGACTGGGAGGACTGGGGGACTGGGGGACTGGGGGACTGGGAGGACTGGGGGACTGGGAGGACTGGGGGGACTGGGAGGACTGGAGGACTGGGGGACTGGGAGGACTGGGGGGACTGGGGGGACTGGGAGGACTGGGGGGACTGGGAGGACGGGGGGGGGGGTGGGGGGACTGGACTGGGGGACTGGGGGGGGGACTGGGAGGACTGGGGGGACTGGAGGACTGGGGGGACTGGGAGGACTGGGGGGACTGGGGGACTGGGAGGACTGGGAGGACTGGGGGGGGACTGGGGGACTGGGGGGGGGGGACTGGGGGGACTGGGGGGGAGGGGGGACGGGGGGGACTGGGAGGACTGGGGGGACTGGGGGACTGGGGGGACTGGGTGGACTGGGAGGACTGGGTGGACTGGGAGGACTGGGGGGACTGGGAGGACTGGGAGGACTGGGGGGACTGGGAATGTTCTGGATGTGTTTTCCGAGTTCTGCTTCCTTCTCGTCTTCAGGTTCCTCCAGGAAGGAAATCACGGAGCACTGGGATTTCCTGGAATCCAACCTGCTGCAGACCATCTTCATCTTCGACAACGATGAAGACGTCATCACCTTCGTCAAAGGGAAGATCTCGGTACGTCTCCGCCGGTTTGGTTCGCTGGGATGTGTTCCTGTCTGCTTAGTGATGTCACTTCCTGCAGGGCATCATCGGAGGAGAGCGGCTGAAGCGGAGCGAGGAGCAGGAAGAGAACAGCGGGAAGTTCCTGGAGGCGGAGCTGAAGATGCGGAAGCTGTTTGGGATGCCGGAGGAGGAGAAGCTGGTCAACTATCACTCCTGCAGCTACTGAAGGGGCGTGTCCCGCGCCAGGGCTGGCTCTACCTGTCCATCAACCACCTGTGCTTCTACTCCTTCCTGCTGGGGAAGGAAGGTACCGTCAGCCAATCGCACGCCGGCGTTAACTTGTCCGCAGCGATGGCTGACGTGTCGCCGCTGTCCGATCCGCTCAGTGACGCTGGTGGTGCCGTGGACCGAGGTGACCCAGCTGGAGAAGAACGCCACGCTGGTGTTCCCGGAGAGCGTCCGCGTGAGCACCCGGAACGCCGAGCATTTCTTCTCCATGTTCCTGAACGTCAACGATGCCTTCAAGCTGATGGAGCAGCTCGCCAACATCGCCATGCGCCAGCTGCTGGACAACGAGGCGTTCGCCGCCGACCGCTCGCTGCCCAGGCCTGCAAGACGCTGAAGAACGTCTCTGCCCTGAAGAGGTCTCACTCTGAGCTTTTCTCTGTGCCCAAACCTCTGACCGCATCGGCAGCGTTCTTCTGCAGGGACTTCGACGCCCGGCCAAGAACGAGCGGTACCGGTCCATGTTTCGGCTGACGCGGGACGAGCGGCTGGACGGACACACGGACTGCACGCTGTGGACGCCGTTCGCCAAGATGCACGTGGGGGCCAGCTGTTCATCTCCACAACTACATCTGCTTCTGCAGCAGAGAGGAGGAGCTGTGCCAGCTCATCATCCCGCTCAGAGAGGTGAGCCCGGAAGCAGCAGAACCGGGCCGATTCTTGCTGCGACTGCAGTGGACGGAACCGTCTGAGATGTTCTGATGTTTCGCTACACCCTCAGTCTGGCGTTTCCAGATTCCCATCAGCCCTTGCAGTTCCAGAAGTGAGGACTCTGCTGTCAGTCAACAGGAAGGAGAAAGATGAGCGTTAGCAATAGCTTCAGCTAATGATTTTACGTGTTTAGCAGTTAATAGCCAAGACTCTAATTAGCGGTTAGTGAACATAGCACTAGCTATTCCCAAATAGCTAGTGCTAATTTTGTTCCAGACAAGTACGGCGGCCATTTTGAAAAGGGCTAAAATCTTTTAGGTAAAAAGCAAACCTTCATGTGGAAGCTGCTGGTCCCACGTGTTCTTGGTCTGCAGCTTTTGGAGACGATTGTCCTGTAATTTACCCATGATCCTCTGCTCCTCAGGTGACCATCGTGGAGAAGGCGGACAGCAGCAGCGTCTTGCCGTCTCCCGTCTCCATCAGCACCAAGAACAAGATGAACTTCCTGTTCGCCAACCTCAAAGACAGGGACTTCCTGGTTCAGCGGATCTCAGACTTCCTGCAGCGGACGCCGGACGGCTCGTGGAGCGACACCAATCCGCTGTCTCTGATTGGCTCCCCGGTACGCCAGGCTTGGCTGTCAGAACCTTGTGGTTCTGGTTCTGTCTCACGTCTGTCTGTTCCCAGGGCTCCACCGGCGTCCTCCAACCGCAGGAGCCGACTCCGCCCACCAGGGGCGCCATTACCACGGCGGCCTGCCCACCGCCCAGCAGGGCCTGCTGCGGCTGTACAGCAGCAGGACGGCCGGGGAGCCCGAGCTGTGAGTACGATTCCCGGTGCGAGGCGGGGCGCCGGGAGACGCTGACCCGTCCTCCGTCCCGCAGATGAAGGAGCGGATGAAGGAGGAGGCGTGGAACATTCACTTCTCCGAGTTCGGCCGGGGCGTCTGCATGTACAGAACCTCCAGAACCCGAGAGCTGGTTCTGAACGGGATCCCGGAGCGCCTGAGGGGGGAGCTGTGGCTGCTGTCTCCGGTCCGTCCCCGTTCCGCTTCCTGTCCCCGCTTCCTGTCCCTGTCTCCGTTTACCCGTCTCCTCCCGTCTCTGCAGGCGCTCAGAACGAGATGGCCGCTCACCCTGGTTACTATGGCGACCTGGTGGAGCAGGCCACGGGCCTCTGCTCATTGGCCGCCGAGGAGATCGAGCGCGACCTCCATCGCTCGATGCCCGAGCACAGAGCCTTCCAGAACGAGACGGGCATCGCCGCGCTGCGCCGCGTCCTGACCGCCTACGCCCACCGCAACCCCAACATCGGCTACTGCCAGGTACTCGGCCAGAACCCGACCAGAACCCGATTAGAACCCGGCCAGAACCCGGCCAGAACCTGGCCAGAACCCGACCAGAACCCGATTAGAAACCCGGCCAGAACCCGGCCAGAACCTGGCCAGAACCCGGGACCGGCCAGAACCGGCCAGAACCTGGCCAGAACCCGACCAGAACCCGACCAGAACCCGATCAGAACCGGCCAGAACCGACCAGAACCCGATTAGAACCCAGCCAGAACCCGGCCAGAACCCGGGACCTGCAGGTTTTATGAGCCTCAGGTTCAAAACGCTGGAATGAATCGGCTTCGTTTCCTCCAGTGAAGCTCAGATCCTCAGAGCCTTAATGGCTCATCTGAAGGTCGCAGGGCAGCCAGTGACCCCTGAGGACTGGAGTTTGACCCTGGAGTTTGAGCATCGTGTTTGTAAATAATGTGTAGATGCTTGTTTGAGTCTATAGACAATATTGATGCTGTCGCTGAGGATGAACAGAAATTTGAGCTCTAATGTTGATACTTTACTGGAAACTTTGTCGCCTCCTGCAGGCCATGAACATCGTTTACATCCGTCCTGCTGCTGTACGGAACCGAGGAGGAGGCCTTCTGGCTGCTGGTGGCGCTGTGCGAGCGCATGCTGCCCGACTACTACAACACCCGGGTCGTAGGTCAGTGACCGGGCCGTAGGCCGTGGGAACCGGGCCGGGGGTTGAGATTCTTGAATCCCAATCTAGAACAGAACCATGGACGGTGTTCGATGGTTCGGTGACTTGTACCTGCCCACTGGGCGTAGTTGCTGGCGGCGTCCTCCAGGTGGCGCACCTGACGCTCTGTCCCCTCAGGCGCGCTGGTGGACCAGGGCGTGTTCGAGAGCTGACCCGGGCCTTCCTGCCGCCCCTCTACGACCACATGCAGGCGCTGGGCGTCATCACCACCATCAGCCTGTCCTGGTTCCTCACCCTCTTCCTGTCCGTCATGCCGTTCGACAGCGCCGTCCTGCTGGTCGACTGCTTCTTCTACGAAGGCATCAAGGTCATCTTCCAGGTACGGAGCCGCGTGGCGCCGACTGCTCGCCGCGTACCGGTCAGACAAACCCTTGACCTTCGACCTCGTCCGTCTGCAGGTGGCGCTGGCCGTCCTTCATGACAACATGGACGCCCTGCTGGTCTGCAGCGATGAGGGCGAAGCCATGACCATCTGGGCAGGTGGGACCGTCGGGCCCAATACGGTCCGGTCCGGACCGGTCCAGTAATAAACTCACCTGTCCTGCAGGTACCTGGACAACGTTGTGAACAAGCAGACGGTGGCTCCGCCCACTCCCCACCTCCACGCCCTGCTGACGAGCGGAGACGACCCTCCGCAGGAGATCGACGTCTTCGACCTCATCAGGGCGTCCTATGAGGTCAGAGTGATGTCACTTCCTGCCTGGTGGTCACCTGGTCGACTGGAAGGTCTCAGGTGGATCAAACGTCTGTCTTGCAGAAGTTCGGCAGCCTGCGGTCTGACGTCATCGAGCAGATGCGTTTTAAGCAGAGGTTAAAGGTCATCCAGTCGCTGGAAGACACGGCGAAGAGGAGCGTGGTGGGTGTGTGTGGACACTTCACGTCCACAGAGACGAGGTCGGTCTCTTCACAGGTGTTTCTCTGCAGGTGAGGGCGATGATGACGGAGCTGGCCTTCAGCATCGAGGAGCTGGAGGAGCTGTACTGTCTCTTTAAGGTCAGAGGTCGCCTGAGATTCTGTCCTCTCAGGTCCTCTCGGTCTGACCCCTGCTGTCTGTCCTAGTCCAAGCACATGACCAGCTGCTACTGGGGCTCCAGCAGCTCGGCGGCGGAGCGCCACGATCCCAGCCTGCCCTACCTGGAGCAGTACCGGATCGACCCGGTCCAGTTCGCCCAGCTCTTCTCGGCGCTGTCCCCCTGGGTCTGCGGAAGCCACACCCCCGCGCTGTCGGCCCGCTCTTCAGGCTGCTGGACCAGAAACCAGGACGGGCTGGTCAACTTCAAAGAGTTCAGCACCGGCCTCAGTGAGTCGGCTCGTCCGGGTCGGTTCTGTCAGCCCCGTTCGGTTCTGTCAGCCCCGTTCGGTTCTGTCTGCCCCGGTCGGTTCTGTCTGCCCGGTCGGTTCTGTCTGCCCCGGTCGGTTCTGTCTGCCCCGGTCGGTTCTGTCTGCCCCGGTCGGTTCTGTCTGACCGGTCGGTTCTGTCTGCCCCGTTCGGTTCTGTCTGCCCCGGTCGGTTCTGTCTGCCCCGGTCGGTTCTGTCAGCCCCGGTCTCACTGGGTTTGTGGTTCTGCAGGTGGGATGTTCCACGGCGACATGACGGAGAAGCTGAAGCTGCTCTACAAGCTCCACCTCCCACCAGGTATCAGCTCACCTGATACTCAGGTTCTGATCCGACCCAATGCCGCCGACCGGAACCAGAGGTCCCACCTGACGTCCCCAGGTGTTCTGTTGGTGATCTCACACTGAGCATGCTCAGACCAGAACAATCAAAATTTAGATAAAAATGGAGCATTTCCCTTTAATTTGACCTCTGACCCTTGACTGCAACCTTCTGTGGACCAGGGTCAACAATTAACATTCACCTGGGTTTTCATTCTGATTGCAGTGCAGAGGGAACATTAGGGAACGTTAGGGAACATTAGGGAATGTTAGGGAACGTTAGGGAACATTAGGGAACGTTAGGGAACATTAGGGAATGTTAGGGAACGTTAGGGAACATTAGGAATGTTAGGGAACGTTAGGGAACATTAGGGAACATTAGGGAACATTAGGGAACATTAGGGAACATTAGGGAACATTAGGGAACGTTAGGGAACATTAGGGAATGTTAGGGAACGTTAGGGAACGTTAGGGAACATTAGGGAACGTTAGGGAACATTAGGGAACATTAGGGAACATTCGGGAACATTAGGGAACGTTAGGGAACATTAGGGAATGTTAGGGAACGTTAGGGAACGTTAGGGAACATTAGGGAACGTTAGAGAACATTAGGGAACGTTAGGGAACGTTAGGGAACATTAGGGAACGTTAGGGAACGTTAGGGAACGTTAGGGAACATTAGGGAACGTTAGGGAACATTAGATGAATGTTCACCAACAGAAAGTTTTTATCCGTCACATTGACCACAGTTACTGCTCCACTATGTTAGCATGCTCGCTACCCTGCTAGCTTAGCAGCTAACTGCTAAACTGTAAGCGGTGATTGTAGCTGCTACCCAGAGGTCAAAGTGCAGGCTGACCCCTCAGGTGTTGACACCTGTCTGTCTGTTCCAGCTCTGTGTGCTGAGGAGGCGGAGTCTGCTCTGGAGGCCACACACTTCTTCACTGAGGACAAACATCAAGGTACACACACACACATACACACACACATCTACACACACACCTACACACACACACACACACAGATGTAGAGGTACATATCCTTCACCTGCTGGACTTCCTGCTGCCACTGAGCTCTGACCAACACCGACTCTTCTTCTTCCTCCTCTTCCTCCTCTTCCTCCTCTTCCTCATGTCTCTTCCAGAATCTTCCTTCCTGTCTGATCTGGATTCTGTGCGGCAGCAGGAAGTGACATCAGGTTGGTTCTGGTTCTTGAACCATGTTTGATGATGATGATGATGATGATGATGATGATGATGATGATGTTTTCTCCTGAACAGGTGAAGAACCAAAGAATGGAGGAGAAGATGGTGAGGAGAAGAAAGGTAATGGCCGCCTCCTGCTGAGCGCTGATGGTGTCAAACCTGCATCTCACCTGAGTTGACTTGTTGGTGTCAGAGGTGAAGGACTACAGGTACTACCTGAGGATGTGGGCAGAAGAGAAGGAGCCCAAGAGGGAAACCATCAAGGATTTGCCCAGGATGAACCAGGTGAGTCCAGGTGCTGCTGAGCTCCCAGGTGAGGCCGTCCAGGTGTGTTTACCTGTGTACCTGTGACAGGAGCAGTTTATCGAGCTGTGTAAGACGCTGTACAACATGTTCAGCGAGGAGCCGAGCGAGCAGCAGCTGTACCACGCCATCGCCACCGTGGCCAGCCTCCTGCTGCGCATCGGAGAGGTCGGCAAGAAGTTCGGCAACGGCGCCAAGAGGGCCGAGGCCCCGCCTCCCGCCCGGCCCGGGGAGGAGGGGCCCGGCGAGGGAACCTCGGCCGACGCCCAGGTGTGCCGGGCTCTGGCCGACGCCCAGCTGGAGCCGACCACGTCCGACGAGGAGACGAAGGACGACGCGTCGGTGTCGTCGTTCTCGGTGGTGAGCTCCGGCTCGCTGCAGTGCGAGGACATCGCCGACGACACGGTGCTGGTCAGCGGCGAGGAGAGGCGGGGAAGCGCGCTGGACGCTGATTGGTCAATCACCTTTGAGCAAGTGCTGGCCTCACTGTTGACAGAACCGGCTGGTCGAGTATTTCGAGAGGAAGATGGACATCCAGGCCAAAATGGCTGCCTGTAAGGCTCAGCGGGCCGTGGAGCGCCAGATAAGCTCCGCCTCCGACCACGAACTCAGCCAGCATTCCTCCTGACTCACCTGATCACCTGGTTACCTGGTAACATGATCACCTGGTTACCTGGTAACATGATCACCTGGTTACCTGGTTACATGATCACCTGGTTACCTGGTTACTGATCACCACTCAGTTCTCCCGCCTCCTGATTGGTCACCTGCGTCTCCTGTGTCCGTTTGAGTCTGATTGGACCATTGCTGACGATGCAACATCAATAGTGTCTCTGACTGGTCAGTCACTGACTGAGCTATGACATCATCATGTGACTTCCTGTGGGTGTTTCACAGTAAAAGCTTAGCTGGTGTTTATTGATCTCTGATTGGTTCCCCAGTCTGCTGCAGGTGAACAGGTGTATATACATCCTGTTTGTCACATGACTCTGTAGTGATGTCATCACAGGAAGTAAAATAAAATAAATAATAAATAATGGCTGACAAAAAACAAGTTCAGTGTTCATTCAAGTTTTTATTTTGTAGTTGTTGTTTTTGTGCCCCATTTACTTCCTGTACAGTGTGACGTCACAGTGTTTTTATCTGTTTATCTGCCTGCTTTTAAATCTGTTGCATTAATCAGTTATTGATCTGTTCCAATAAACCTGGAGAAACCTGCGTCTTCTTCTTCTGTGGTGTTTATGTTGAAAATGTGAGCAGAGGGAGAGCAGCGCCCTCTAGGGGGCGCGCCTGTGTTTGGAACATGCAGACAGCAGAAGGTCAAACATGAGATGATGACGTATTTCACGCAAAAGAAGAAAATAAAACCTCACCGGCTGCCGTACAACCTCACAGGAACATGGTTCCGGCTTCAGGCTCCTCCTCCCAGCAGGGGGCGCTCCTGTCGTGTCAGCTCCCTGTGACGTCATACCGCGGGTCAAACGGAAACGCGGGAGCCAGTGAACGCGCTGCCGTCCAGAACCGGTTGGGTCATGGTCCAGAACTTCCTCGTGGTTCGGTGTTTCCGCTGCCAAAGCTTCCAGGTGCAGCAGGTGAGCGTCCGGTTCGCTGCTGTCTGACTTCCGGTCAAAGGGTCGTTCAGAAAACAACAAAATATGAGCCCGGTTCAGGAGTCTGGATCTGCGATTCAACCTCCAGAACAACCAGCAGACCGGAGATGAAGGTTCAGTTAAAGTGCGGCCCGCGGGCCGTCTGGGGTCGTAGGATTTGTTTTGTGGGTCCAGATGATGTGACAGCAAACCTTGATGAGAAAAACTAAAACCATGTTCTACAACAAGAAAATGCAAAAATTAGACCCATAAGGAAACGAAACATCTTTCTTTTATTAAATAAAACATTTTTTCTCTTTGTTTAGTAAAATTATTGCATCTAATTTATTGTTGGACAGAAAAGGTTCTGAGGAAACAAAGAGATTTCCAGCCAAATGAGGAATTATTATAACTATTATCATAGGAAACTCAAAGTTCTGTTTAATTTGGTTCTGATCCCAGATTGGACCTAGTTGAGAGTTTTTCCTGCTTCTTGTCTGGCAGGTGAAGAAGGCGAAGAAATGGAGCTGCAAGCTGTGTGGAGAGAAGCAGTCGCTGCTGAAGGTCAGAACTGGGTCAGACCCGCATCAAGACCCAGGTCAGAACCGTATCGGGTCAGAACCATTGCGGTCAGACCTACGGTTCTGCAGGTCTGACTTCTCCCTGCGTTTGGAACCGGATCTTGTGCGGGTTTCTGATTGGACGAGCAAAGCTCCTCCAGCTGGAGGGGCGGAGTCAACCTGCCCACATTGACCTGCTTCCCTATTGGCTGAGAAGCAGGAAGGAGGGCAGGGAAATCCATGTTGTCATAGCGACTGCGTATTTCCTGTTTATTGTTCTGATCCAGATCAGATGCTGATTGATCAAGTTCTGATCCAAATCCATGAGGTTCTGCTGCAGTTCTACAGAGCAGAACCACAGAAAACAGCAGCTTGTCTGGAGCGGTCCAAAGTGTGACAGAACCAGAACCATTTCAGGACGTTTGGGTTGGATGGTTCTGTTCCTGCTCTGGTTCTGTTAAAGTTCTGCTGTTCTCCAGAACTCTGATCAGAACTTTGGTGGGCAGGAATTCGGCCGTGGGTCCGGAGCCGACTGCCGGCGCCACGTCCAGAAGCTGAACACCATGAGGGGAACCAAGATGGAGGAGCATGAGGCCCACGCCTGGTCGCTATGGTAACACACACCTTTACCTGAACCAGCAGTGCGATTTGTCCTCCTCACTGGGAACACTGGGAACACTGGGAACACCGGGAACACTAGGAACACTGGGAACACTAGGAACACTGGGAACACTGGGAACACTGGGAACACTAGGAACACTAGGAACACTGGGAACACTAGGAACACAGGGAACACCGGGAACACTAGGAACACTGGGAACACTAGGAACACAGGGAACACCGGGAACACTAGGAACACTGGGAACACTAGGAACACTAGGAACACTGGGAACACTAGGAACACTGGGAACACTGGGAACACTAGGAACACAGGGAACACTAGGAACACTGGGAACACTGGGAACACTAGGAACACTGGGAACACTAGGAACACTGGGAACACTGGGAACACTAGGAACACTGGGAACACTAGGAACACTGGGAACACTGGGGACACTAGGAACACTGGGAACACTAGGAACACTGGGAACACTAGGAACACTGGGGACACTAGGAACACTGGGAACACTAGGAACACCGGGAACACTGGGAAGACTGGGAACACTAGGAACACTGGGAACACTAGGAATACTGGGGACACTAGGAACACTGGGAACACTGGGGACACTAGGAACACTGAGAACACTAGGAACACTGGGAACACTGGGAACACTAGGAACACTGGGAACACTAGGAACACTGGGAACACTGGGAACACTAGGAACACTGGGAACACTAGGAACACTGGGAACACTGGGAACACTGGGGACACTAGGAACACTGGGAACACTAGGAACACTGGGAACACTAGGAACACTGGGGACACTAGGAACACTGGGAACACTAGGAACACCGGGAACACTGGGAAGACTGGGAACACTAGGAACACTGGGAACACTAGGAATACTGGGGACACTAGAAACACTGGGACACTAGGAACACTGGGAACACTAGGAACACTGGGAACACTAGGAACACTGGGAACACTGGAGACACTAGGAACACTGGGAACACTAGGAACACCGGGAACACTGGGAAGACTGGGAACACTAGGAACACTGGGAACACTAGGAACACTGGGAACACTAGGAACACTGGGAACACCGGGAACACTGGGAACACTAGGAACACTGGGAACACTAGGAACACTGGGGACACTAGGAACACTGGGAACACCGGGAACACTAGGAACACTGGGAACACTGGGAACACTGGGAACACCGGGAACACTAGGAACACTGGGAACACTGGGAACACTGGGAACACCGGGAACACTAGGAACACTGGGAACACAGGGAACACTAGGAACACTGGGAACACCGGGAACACAGGGAACACCGGGAACACTAGGAACACTGGGAACACCGGGAACACTAGGAACACTAGGAACACTGGGAACACTAGGAACACTGGGAACACTAGGAACACTAGGAACACTGGGAACACCGGGAACACTAGGAACACTGGGAACACAGGGAACACTAGGAACACTGGGAACACTAGGAACACAGGGAACACCGGGAACACTAGGAACACTGGGAACACAGGGAACACTGGGAACACTAGGAACACTGGGAACACTGGGAACACTGGGAACACCGGGAACACTAGGAACACTGGGAACACTGGGAACACTAGGAACACTGGGAACACTAGGAACACTGGGAACACTAGGAACACTGGGAACACCGGGAACACTGGGAACACTAGGAACACTGGGAACACCGGGAAAACTGGGAACACTAGGAACACTGGGAACACTAGGAACACTAGGAACACTGGGAACACTAGGAACACTGGGAACACAGGGAACACCGGGAACACTAGGAACACTGGGAACACAGGGAACACTGGGAACACCGGGAACACTAGGAACACAGGGAACACCGGGAACACTAGGAACACTAGGAACACTGGGAACACTAGGAACACTAGGAACACTGGGAACACAGGGAACACCGGGAACACTAGGAACACTAGGAACACTGGGAACACTGGGAACACCGGGAACACTAGGAACACAGGGAACACCGGGAACACTAGGAACACAGGGAACACCGGGAACACTAGGAACACTGGGAACACCGGGAAGACTGGGAACACTAGGAACACTGGGAACACTAGGAACACTGGGAACACTAGGAACACAGGGAACACCGGGAACACTAGGAACACTGGGAACACAGGGAACACTGGGAACACCGGGAACACTAGGAACACTGGGAACACTGGGAACACTAGGAACACTGGGAAGACTATGAACACTGGGAACACTAGGAACACTGGGAACACTAGGAACACTGGGAACACTGGGAAGACTATGAACACTGGGAACACTAGGAACACTGGGAACACTAGGAACACTGGGAAAACTGGGAACACTAGGAACACCGGGAACACTAGGAACACTGGGAACACCGGGAACACTAGGAACACTGGGAACACTGGGAACACTAGGAACACTGGGAAGACTAGGAACACTGGGAACACTAGGAACACTGGGGACACTAGGAACACTGGGAACACTGGGAACACTAGGAACACTGGGAACACTAGGAACACTGGGAACACTAGGAACACTGGGAACACTAGGAACACTGGGGACACTAGGAACACCGGGAACACTGGGAAGACTAGGAACACTGGGAACACTGGGAACACTAGGAACACTGGGGACACTAGGAACACCAGGAACACTGGGAAGACTAGGAACACTGGGAACACTAGGAACACTGGGAACACTAGGAACACTGGGAACACTAGGAACACTAGGAACACTGGGAACACTAGGAACACTGGGAACACCGGGAACACTAGGAACACTGGGAACACAGGGAACACTAGGAACACTGGGAACACTGGGAACACTAGGAACACAGGGAACACTGGGAACACTAGGAACACTGGGGACACTAGGAACACTGGGAACACTAGGAACACTAGGAACACTGGGAACACTAGGAACACTAGGAACACTGGGAACACTAGGAACACTGGGAACACTAGGAACACCGGGAACACTGGAACACTAGGAACACTGGGAATACTGGGAACACTAGGAACACTAGGAACACTGGGAACACTAGGAACACTGGGAACACTAGGAACACCGGGAACACTGGGAACACTAGGAACACTGGGAATACTGGGAACACTAGGAACACTAGGAACACTGGGAAGACTAGGAACACTGGGAACACTGGGAACACTAGGAACACTGGGAACACTAGGAACACCGGGAACACTGGGAAGACTAGGAACACTGGGAACACTAGGAACACTGGGAACACTGGGGACACTAGGAACACCGGGAACACTGGGAAGACTAGGAACACTGGGAACACTGGGAACACTAGGAACACTGGGAACACTAGGAACACTGGGGACACTAGGAACACCGGGAACACTGGGAAGACTAGGAACACTGGGAACACTAGGAACACTGGGAACACTAGGAACACTGGGAACACTAGGAACACTGGGAACACCGGGAACACTAGGAACACTGGGAACACTGGGAACACTGGGAACACCGGGAACACTAGGAACACTGGGAACACTGGGAACACTGGGAACACCGGGAACACTAGGAACACTGGGAACACAGGGAACACTAGGAACACTGGGAACACCGGGAACACTAGGAACACTGGGAACACTGGGAACACTGGGAACACCGGGAACACTAGGAACACTGGGAACACAGGGAACACTGGGAACACCGGGAACACTAGGAACACTGGGAACACAGGGAACACTGGGAACACCGGGAACACTAGGAACACAGGGAACACCGGGAACACTAGGAACACTGGGAACACCGGGAACACTAGGAACACTAGGAACACTGGGAACACTAGGAACACTGGGAACACTAGGAACACTAGGAACACTGGGAACACCGGGAACAGTAGGAACACTGGGAACACAGGGAACACTAGGAACACTGGGAACACTAGGAACACAGGGAACACCGGGAACACTAGGAACACTGGGAACACAGGGAACACTGGGAACACCGGGAACACTAGGAACACAGGGAACACCGGGAACACTCGGAACACTAGGAACACTGGGAACACTAGGAACACTAGGAACACTGGGAACACAGGGAACACCGGGAACACTAGGAACACTGGGAACACCGGGAACACTAGGAACACTGGGAACACCGGGAACACTAGGAACACAGGGAACACCGGGAACCATAGGAACACTGGGAACACCGGGAAGACTGGGAACACTAGGAACACTGGGAACACTAGGAACACTGGGAACACTAGGAACACAGGGAACACCGGGAACACTAGGAACACTGGGAACACAGGGAACACTGGGAACACCGGGAACACTAGGAACACTGGGAACACTAGGAACACTGGGAAGACTAGGAACACTGGGAACACTAGGAACACTGGGAACACTAGGAACACTGGGAACACTGGGAAGACTAGGAACACTGGGAACACTAGGAACACTGGGGACACTAGGAACACTGGGAAAACTGGGAACACTAGGAACACCGGGAACACTAGGAACACTGGGAACACTGGGAACACCGGGAACACTAGGAACACTGGGAACACTGGGAACACTAGGAACACTGGGAAGACTATGAACACTGGGAACACTAGGAACACTGGGGACACTAGGAACACTGGGAACACTAGGAACACTGGGAACACTAGGAACACTGGGAACACTAGGAACACTGGGAACACTAGGAACACTGGGGACACTAGGAACACCGGGAACACTGGGAAGACTAGGAACACTGGGAACACTGGGAACACTAGGAACACTAGGAACACTGGGGACACTAGGAACACCGGGAAGACTAGGAACACTGGGAACACTAGGAACACTGGGAACACTAGGAACACTGGGAACACTAGGAACACTGGGAACACTAGGAACACTAGGAACACTGGGGACACTAGGAACACTGGGAACACCGGGAACACTAGGAACACTGGGAACACAGGGAACACTAGGAACACTGGGAACACTGGGAACACTAGGAACACAGGGAACACTGGGAACACTAGGAACACTGGGGACACTAGGAACACTGGGAACACTAGGAACACTAGGAACACTGGGAACACTAGGAACACTAGGAACACTGGGAACACTAGGAACACTGGGAACACTAGGAACACCGGGAACACTGGGAACACTAGGAACACTGGGAATACTGGGAACACTAGGAACACTAGGAACACTGGGAACACTAGGAACACTGGGAACACTAGGAACACCGGGAACACTGGGAACACTAGGAACACTGGGAACACTGGGAACACTAGGAACACTGGGAACACTGGGGACACTAGGAACACCGGGAACACTGGGAAGACTAGGAACACTGGGAACACTGGGAACACTAGGAACACTGGGAACACTAGGAACACTAGGAACACTGGGAACACTAGGAACACTGGGAACACCGGGAACACTAGGAACACTGGGAACACAGGGAACACTAGGAACACTGGGAACACTGGGAACACTAGGAACACAGGGAACACTGGGAACACTAGGAACACTGGGAACACTAGGAACACTGGGAACACTAGGAACACTAGGAACACTGGGAACACTAGGAACACTGGGAACACTAGGAACACTGGGAACACTAGGAACACTGGGAACACTAGGAACACTGGGGACACTAGGAACACTGGGAACACTAGGAACACTAGGAACACTGGGAACACTAGGAACACTAGGAACACTGGGAACACTAGGAACACTGGGAACACTAGGAACACCGGGAACACTGGGAACACTAGGAACACTGGGAATACTGGGAACACTAGGAACACTAGGAACACTGGGAACACTAGGAACACTGGGAACACTAGGAACACCGGGAACACTGGGAACACTGGGAATACTGGGAACACTAGGAACACTGGGAACACTGGGGACACTAGGAACACCGGGAACACTGGGAAGACTAGGAACACTGGGAACACTGGGAACACTAGGAACACTGGGAACACTGGGGACACTAGGAACACCGGGAACACTGGGAACACTAGGAACACTGGGAATACTGGGAACACTAGGAACACTGGGAACACTGGGGACACTAGGAACACCGGGAACACTGGGAAGACTAGGAACACTGGGAACACTGGGAACACTAGGAACACTGGGAACACTAGGAACACTAGGAACACTGGGGACACTAGGAACACTGGGAACACCGGGAACACTAGGAACACTGGGAACACAGGGAACACTAGGAACACTGGGAACACTGGGAACACTAGGAACACAGGGAACACTGGGAACACTAGGAACACTGGGAACACTAGGAACACTGGGAACACTAGGAACACTAGGAACACTGGGAACACTAGGAACACTGGGAACACTAGGAACACTGGGAACACTAGGAACACTGGGAACACTAGGAACACTGGGGACACTAGGAACACTGGGAACACTAGGAACACTAGGAACACTGGGAACACTAGGAACACTAGGAACACTGGGAACACTAGGAACACTGGGAACACTAGGAACACCGGGAACACTGGGAACACTAGGAACACTGGGAATACTGGGAACACTAGGAACACTGGGAACACTAGGAACACTGGGAACACTAGGAACACCGGGAACACTGGGAACACTAGGAACACTGGGAATACTGGGAACACTAGGAACACTGGGAACACTGGGGACACTAGGAACACCGGGAACACTGGGAAGACTAGGAACACTGGGAACACTGGGAACACTAGGAACACTGGGAACACTAGGAACACTGGGGACACTAGGAACACCGGGAACACTGGGAAGACTAGGAACACTGGGAACACTAGGAACACTGGGAACACTAGGAACACTGGGAACACTAGGAACACTGGGAACACTAGGAACACTGGGAACACCGGGAACACTAGGAACACTGGGAACACAGGGAACACTAGGAACACTGGGAACACTAGGAACACAGGGAACACTGGGAACACTGGGAACACTAGGAACACTGGGGACACTAGGAACACTGGGAACACTAGGAACACTAGGAACACTGGGAACACTAGGAACACTGGGAACACTGGGAACACTGGGAACACTAGGAACACTGGGAACACTAGGAACACTGGGAACACTAGGAACACTGGGAACACTAGGAACACTAGGAACACTGGGAACACTAGGAACACTAGGAACACTGGGAACACTAGGAACACTGGGAACACTAGGAACACCGGGAACACTGGGAACACTAGGAACACTGGGAATACTGGGAACACTAGGAACACTAGGAACACTGGGAACACTAGGAACACTGGGAACACTAGGAACACCGGGAACACTGGGAACACTAGGAACACTGGGAATACTGGGAACACTAGGAACACTAGGAACACTGGGAACACTGGGGACACTAGGAACACTGGGAACACTAGGAACACTGGGAACACTAGGAACACTGGGAACACAGGGAACACTAGGAACACTGGGAACACTGGGAACACTAGGAACACTGGGGACACTAGGAACACTGGGAAGACTAGGAACATTGGGAACACTAGGAACACTGGGAACACTAGGAACACTGGGGACACTAGGAACACTGGGAACACTAGGAACACTGGGAACACTAGGAACACTAGGAACACTGGGAACACTAGGAACACTGGGAACACTAGGAACACCGGGAACACTGGGAACACTAGGAACACTGGGAAAACTAGGAACACTGGGGACACTAGGAACACTGGGAAGACTAGGAACACTGGGAAGACTGGTTTCAGCCTTTTCGCCAAAATGTCTCCCATCTGGAGGAACTTTATGTTTTCCTCTTCGGCTCAACAAGCTGCTGGCGAGTCGCAGACGTAAAAATGGTTAGCGTTAGCTTCTGCTAATGTTTTATTGTGTTAGCAGTTCATTGTAACGTTGTTTAGTCAATTAGCAGCGAGTGAAACTAACTTTTGGTTAGCAGTGCTGATGTTTCTCTGGAAACATTTGTGCCAAGTTAGGTTAAAGATTTTGCTGAAATATTGAATAACCTGCTGCATTTTGTCTGATTGGTTTATGGAACCACCTGAGCTCAGGTGTTCTCCCTCCTTGTGCTTCATTCACAGTGAGCAGCAGGAGGAGGAGCAGCGTCCAGGTGACCAGGTGAGACCCAGTTCTGTCGCTAAACCAGGACAGCTGGAGGCTCTGAGCTGCGTGTGTCTGGCTGCAGGTGAGACCTGCTCAGGTGAGACCTGCTCAGGTGAGTCGTTGGAGCAAATATCTAGACACACCTGAGGAAGAGGAGGAAGAGGAAGGATTGGAGGGCAACCAAACCACTGGCAGGTGACTGAGTTTAATGTGTCTCTGGTCTACTGGTTCCAAACCAGCAGACCAGGTCAGAGAGATATAACGGATCAATAATCAATAATCTGCTGATCTGTGTTCCAGGAAGAGACACAGACCAGAGGAGCTGGGAGGAGGAAGAGGAGGGGAAGGCTGCCCACCTGTTAAGGTAACACACCTGAGCAGCACTTCCTGTCTGGAGCTGCTCATGTTGCTATGACATCAAAGCAGGTTAACAATCAGTTCCACAAATATCCAGCAGGGGGCGACTGAAACCCTCCGGTCCGATTTGTAAACAGAGAGGCGAAACTTTAATGTCACGTGACTCACCTCTCTGCTCTGATTGGCTGCTGCTGTGACGTTTGCTTCATTTGGTTTTGGATGAAGCAGGTAGAAAAACCTGGAGCCAAACGGCTTCATGCTCAGATCAGCCTGAATGTTCCAAAGGTCAAAGGTCAGCCAGGGGCCCTCCGGGACTGGAGTTTGACCCCCTGCTTTATTGGAACCAAAAACCTTCACATTCATCTTCTCTTCTTCTGTGCAGCTGAAACAGACAGCAGTGACATCATCTGTGACATCATCTGTGACCTCAGCAGCAGCGCCCAGCGGCTCCGGCTCCAGGCGGGGTCCGTTCCTCAGTGCTGACTGCAGGGGGGCGGAGCTTCCTGTTATCAGTCAACCAGTAGACACTGCAGCAGCCAAGCCCCACCCCCAACTTCCTGTGTCCTCCATGTTTGACAGCGGCGAAGACTTCAACTTTGATGAGGATTTTCTGACATTTTAGCTTCGATTCTTTTCGTTTATGACTGTTGTTGTTTACATCAGAGACTCAAACAGGTTCTGGCATCATTTCAGGTTTTTATTGATCAGAAACCAAGGAACAAATAAACCTATTGATTATAAAGCTCAGACTGAAGCTACTGATTACATGCTAAAAGGCTACAGGAACCCGCTGCTGAGATGATGTCACTGGTGTGGGCGGGGCTGCTTGGCGTACTGGATGGCGTCGAGCGCGGCGCCGATGTCGCCGTTCTTGGCCTGCAGCAGGTGAGTCAGCCAGCCGCCTTCGTCGCTGAAGCCCATGGACAACATGGCCGCCAGCGACTCCACCAGACGCGGGTCGGCTTCTGGAAGGAAGTGGGCGGAGCTTAGCGACAGCTGTGGTAATGGCAACCAGAGAGACCGAGTGTGCTGCTCACCTTGAGGCAGGTGTGGGTAGAGCGCGGCCTCCCGCAGGCCGGTGGGGCCCTGCTGCGGGGCCCCGGGCTCCGGCGGCGCCCGGCCCTCTGGCTGCAGCGACTGCAGCTCACCTGTGGACGGGTCCACCTCCTTGGAGCTCAGGTGAGTCCACTCCTCGTCAGAGTCCCGGCTCACCTGCAGCCAGGAGTTCTGATCAGAGTCTCATTGATCCCTGATCGGTTCCAGGGTTTGTAAAGCTGCTGACTGACCTTTGACCCCTGGTTGACACAGTCCTCCTTGCTGGCTCCGCCCTCTTCGTTCATCTCGACGTCACTTGGCCCTGCGGCGCTCTGAGTGGGCGGGGTCACCTTGGTCTTCTGACCTTCGTGCTCCACGTCGATGTCCACGTCAATGCCTGCAGAGGGAGATGACATCACTTCCTGTTCAGCAGGAGGCCCTGCACATGTTGTGACATCACGCACCCAGCGGGCTCAGCATGGCGGCCACGCCCTCGCCGATGTTCTTCAGGAAGTCCACGCTGGCCTGGGAGGCTGCACAGAGGTCAGAGGTCAGTCAGCTGACTGAACCTTCAGCTCCAACAGATTTCTGTCCTGATATAACTCACCAGAGGGGGCGCTGCTTTCTGCTGCAGGTTTGGCAGCCCCAGCCTGCTCCTGGTCCTGGTTCTGGTTCTGCTCCGGGTTCTGGTTCTGGTTCCATATTCCACAGTGTCGCATCCTCTTCATCCACTTCCCCCGAGGAAACCAGTGCTGTAGGCGGAGCCAAAACAACCACTTCCTGTTACAACAGCAGCTCTTCTAATTGGCTCGGACCCATTGTGGGTGGACCCCATCAGGCAGCCAATCAGGAGCGAGCAGTGAACCAACGCATGATCAACAAACCATAGGAAAAGTAGCAAAAACGGCAAACATGAAATGTTGCCTCCAGACCACTAGGGGGCATCTGCTGCAGTTTTTGAGAAAAGATGAATGTTCCAGAAACATTATGTCTGTTCTTTTAGTTCACTGTAATCATATAAATAGAATAAACATAACAAAAATACAGAAAAGGTGTAAAAAAAAGTCTAGACTATTTTCTAATAAAAAGATGCTAAAGTAAATTTATTCCTGTTTATTATAAGAATAAAATTTGTTTTTGTCTAATGGAGTAGATACCTTACCGTCCCATGAGTTCAACATGCAATTTCTTACTGAATTATAATCAAAATTAATTCAATTATTCACTAAGAATGTGAAATGATTGTTAACTAACATAAATAAATATGTTCTGCTACATATTAATAATTGGCGCTCACATAAAGTGTTTACTGAGCTTCTGGTTCCCTGCAGGGTGCTGGTTGACTCCCCCTAGGGGTCTGGAGGACATAGTGTTCACATTGTTTCATACTTGCTACTGGTTTTACTCATTGTGAAGTTGTTCCAGTTTGCATCAGTCATGCCCCTGCAGTCCCAAGCCTCACCTGTAGAGGGTGCCAGATGGGCAACAGAGCATGCTCAGTGTGCTTCCCCTGAGACTGGCAGGCGGAGCAAAGGTCGTAATCTGGACACACTGAGCATTTGAAGCGTGTTCCCACCACAGCGCCTTCGCAGCCGTCACAAGTCACGTTAGGGTGGACAGCGGGGGGCGGGGCCATGTGGGCGGGGCCATGATGAGGAGGGGGGGGGCCGAAGGTGAAAGGGGGGAAGGCATGAAGAGGGAAGTCCCGACGGTGTTCCTTCCTCTCTGTGGATTCAAAAAAACTGTTGAAATGGATGCAGCATCATCATCATACACACACTGTAACACACACAGTGTAACACACACAGTGTAACACACAGTGTAACACACAGTGTAACACACACACACTGTAACACTGTAACACACACTAACACACACAGTGTAACACACAGTGTAACACACACAGTGTAACACACACACACTGTAACACACACTGTAACACACACACTGTAACACTGTAACACACACTGTAACACACACACTGTAACACTGTAACACACACTAACACACACAGTGTAACACACAGTGTAACACACACAGTGTAACACACACAGTGACAGTGTAACACACACACACACACTGTAACACACACACACTGTAACACACACACAGTGTAACACACACAGTGTAACACACACACACTGTAACACACACACACTGTAACACACACAGTGTAACACACACACACTGTAACACACACTGTAACACACACACACTGTAACACACACACACTGTAACACACACACAGTGTAACACACACAGTGTAACACACACTAACACACACACTGTAACACACACTAACACACACAGTGACAGTGTAACACACACACACTGTAACACACACTGTAACACACACACTGTAACACACACACAGTGTAACACACACAGTGTAACACACACTAACACACACAGTGACAGTGTAACACACACACACTAACACACACTGTAACACACACAGTGTAACACACACAGTGTAACACACACACTGTAACACACAGTGTAACACACACTAACACACACTGTAACACACACAGTGTAACACACACTGTAACACTGTAACACACACTAACACACACAGTGTAACACACACAGTGTAACACACACAGTGCAACACACACTAACACACACAGTGACAGTGTAACACACACACACTGTAACACACACTGTAACACACACACTGTAACACACACACAGTGTAACACACACACTGTAACACACACACACTGTAACACACACACACTGTAACACACACACACTGTAACACACACACACTGTAACACACACACACTGTAACACACACTGTAACACACACTGTAACACACACACTGTAACACACACACTGTAACACACACACACTGTAACACACACACTGTAACACACACACTGTAACACACACACACACTGTAACACACACTGTAACACACACACACTGTAACACACACACTGTAACACACACACACTGTAACACACACACTGTAACACACTGTAACACACACACACTGTAACACACACACTGTAACACACACACAGTGTAACACACACAGTGTAACACTGCTCCCCCTCCCCACCTACCTCTGATGTAGAGGCGGAACGTCGCGTCCTTCATGAAGCTCAGCCCCATCATCAGCTCGTCGTCGGAGGAGAACGCCACCAGGTCTCCATCTTCATCTGAAACACCATGACATCATCATCAGGAGCCAATCAGAGCAGCATTCTGTGGCCACACCCACTACAGCTTCAGACAGGGAGGCCACGTGATTGGAACCAGAACCTGATTTGTTAAAACGTCCCGAACAGAACCTGACCGGCTGGCCCGGTTCTGGTTCCGAGCCGACTCGGACAGAGGGAGCGGACCAGAACCAGGTAACTATAGCAGCTGAGTCCATTTGGAGATGCAGAGGAATCGACCAATGAGCTGTCAGCACATTAAAGGAGACGGTCTCCATGGTGATGAGGCGTTTGTTTACACCCAGAGCAGATATGACAGGTGGATCAGCTGAGGGGCGTGGCAGAAATATCAAACAAGGTCACGTGACCTGACAGTTTACAGGTCGGACCAGAACAACTGGGTTCGGTTTTACTCTGAAACCAAATCACCTGGAAACACCTGGGAGCTCCAGCTGCCAGTGAGCACCGGGCCTGAGGCTGACCTCTGAACTCTTCTCATTAAAACATCACGACGTGTACAGGTCACGTGACGCTCACCTTTGTAGAAGAGGCAGCAGGTGGAGCCGCTCAGGTTGGAGAAAACCGCCGCCACCTTCCGGCTCAGGAACTCGAAGCTGCAGGAAACCTCCTGGTCCACCGCGAACCGCCGGATCTCCTTCACCTGCTCGTCCTTCCCCAGCAGGTAGGCCTTCACTGTGACCGACATCCCGACCGGAACCGAACCGAACCGAACCGAGAGAGAGAGAGCGAGAGAGAGAGACGGGCCGAGCGGATCCGAACACGAACTCTACAAAGTCTGAAAGTTTGTGACGCAGCTTGAAATCTCCGGCCTTTTATGTTTACTTCCGCCTCCGACGTCACCGCTGCCTGGCGCATGCGGGCTCCCATTGGCCGCTCGGAGTCCCGCCCTGACCGACCGCAGGCTGCGCGGTGAGTCCGCGCGGGACTTTCCGGCGAGCCGCGTGACCGGCCGGCCAGAAACACCCGAGTCACGGTGACGACGCGCTACGTCATCAGGTTGTTGAAGTACAAAGACAAAACACCTTTTAACACCTGAAACATACCTGGATAAGCAGTTACAGTTATTAATAGCAATAAGGGTTAATAGATTGTTCTGCATAGAAACAGGTTTATGATCCATGATGTCACCAGAAGCTTTATGATAAATATACATTTACACAAGTTTATTACTGGTATTATTACAAAATACTAAAACTTATAAGTGCATTACACCACTATAACAAAGTTCTATGCACATAAATAATATATTTTTCTCAAAGAATCAAAGTCAAAACTGAACAAATTCTGACCTTATATGAATGACTGTCAAGAAAAAGACAAAAAAAGAGATTTAATGGAAAACATTGACGTATTAAATGAAGTTACAGCAGAAATATAATATACTCCCAAACCGACATGTTTTCATTTATTTATTGTCATGAATGTTTTGGCAAAATCCGTGTTATAAGCAAAACAATGAAGCAAACAGATCAGAAATAAAACAATAAAATCAAACATGTCAGTGACTTCAGTCATCTTTGTCGTATGTTTGTGTTTATTTTAGGAATCGTTCAGGTGATCCACCGTCACCACAGAACAGAACCGGTCCGACCAGAACCACATTCTGGCTCAGGGTTCTGTGGAGGATCCAGAAGCTTCTGGTTTGCTGTTTGTTTCTCAATGTTAATAAAGTTTTATCTCCCAAAGCAGGAAGTGGTGAGGTGATGAGTCAGCGTCACGGGATGGATCATGACTCAGCAGGAAAACTGAAGATCCAGATCTGATCCGGAACAAGTTTTCAGGTCGTCAACCTTCAGCTGATCAGCAATAACCAAGAGATTTTATTTTGCTTTGAAAGATAAACTGGATTTGATTCTAAAAAAAAGCTTCAATTTTGATTTCTGTACCGCAGAGTAAACATAGTTCTGATTTAACACCTGAGTGACTTTAGAATTGAAATAAAGTCGCGTTGAATGCAGACAGAACGGCGTCGTCAGCATAGAAATGATAATCATATAAATGATTAAACAGCAGAGGCCCAACGACTGAACCCTGAGGAACGCCTTCAGAAATGTTTAGGGAGGCAGGTAGAAACTTTTTCTGAACAGAACAGTCGTTTCCATCAGACTGGTTCTGTTGTGACGAGGTAATTCCAGATTTATGGAGCTGATTGGTTCTGCTGCTCCCAGGGTCCAAATAGCAAGTAAAAATAAACTTTGGAGGAAATTAAATAATTTGAGAACAAATTTTATTCAAAAAGCTGACAGATAAAAGTTAAAATTACAGATAAAATGACTGAACCAGAACCAGAACCTTCAAACATCAGCAGCAGGACTCACCGGAGCACACCACGCCCCCTGCTGGACAGTCTGCGGTACTGCTTATTTTATAAGAATGAATTTTAGAAACCAAACCAATGGAAAGCTGATGGGCGGGACCTGATGTGATCTGACCAATCACTCAAGCAGCCGTTGTTACTCCATAATATTTATTTAATAGGAAATCATCATTCAATCCGCCATATTTAAACCTAACCGCAGCTGATTAATGTTGATGATGGCGTCACTGAGGACAGCCAATAGCAGCTCAGTCCGCGGATGATGTCACCAGGTGTCAGATGTAAAGAGGGTGGTACTGGCGTGAGGTGAGCCGCTTTCTGCAGGTGGGGCAGGTGTGTGATGATGTCAGAGCGTCCCTCAGACACTGGCTGCAGAACACGTGGCCACACTTAGTGGAAACGACCAATCGCCCGCTCTCTACAATCTGTGAGGAAAACAAGAGCCAATCAGAACGTAGGACCGACCGGGGTTGGACAGCAAAGCTCTGGTTCTGATCCGGCTCCACCAGCGAGGAAATCTCACCTCGGAGTACAAGTCCAGACAGATGGGACAGCTGATGAGACCTGGAGTCAACCTGCAACAGACACAGCCTGAAAGGTTCTGGTTCTGGTGTCCAATCAGCAACAAGTTACTGATGTCAGACCGGAGCTGTCTAACTCCTGGAGGTGACCCGTCTCTCACCTGAAATGTCTTGCAAGCAACCCCAACAGGATAAAGGTGGGGAAAAAATGGATGGATGGAGAAAAATCCAGACAGCATTACACCGATCCCAGATGCCTGGAGGTTTATCGGCAGGGATCCGTCTAATGCCTGGAGGTTTATCGGCAGGGATCGGTGTAATACCTGGATGTGTGTGCAGTAGAGCTGATGGCAGCTTGAATGACAGTGGGCGCATCTTCATCTTCATCACTGCTGAGAACATAGCTCTCACCTGGAGGCCCTGATGGAAGAACCAAGAATGTCTGTTACTGGTCCGGTACTGGTCCAATGTGAGGTCAAGAGAGCAGATCCAGGTTTTACCTTCATCCACCAGCTGGGGGCAGGAGAGAGAGAAGCAGAGTTATGTGTGTGTGAGAAGCAGCTTCCTGTTGGTCGGTTGCTTGTTTACCAGCACAGACTCGTTGTTGGTCGTCAGGTCGACCACAGCGGACTCTGATCCCTCGCAGGTGAGGTCCACCACCTCCTCCACACCTGGACACAGCAGAGCCACGTGAGCCGGACCTGTGGTTCTGCAGAACCACAGGTTCTGGATCGGCTCCAGGTCCGTTCGGGTTCTACACCGACCGTCCTCGGCGCCGTCCATCACGTCGATGGGCTCCGTGGGGGGGGCGGGGGTCTCCGGCGCCGGCTGCCCTGCGGGTCCGACTGCTGGCCGCTCTGCCGGTCTTGGTTCTGGTTCTGGAGACCAAAGAGCTTCCAGCGGGCCGCTGCTTCCTCTGAGCCTGAAACGCAGGACGTGATGTCAGCAGGGGGCGGAGCCTTCTTCACCTGGACAGGTGCAGCCACTCAGACGTCCTCAGAGGACAGTCTGCAGAGCGATCAATAAGAGCCATTGATGAGCTGATCAGGTGACTGCAGACCCAACTGACTCACCGAGCTGCTCATGTCCTCCAGAGGTCAGAGGTCAGTCTCCTGGATCCAGATGATCCACAGATTTATTCTGTGTGAAAACATGGAGCAGACATTTCTGATTGGTTCTGGTTTGGACCAAACCTGGACCAGAACCTGGACCAGAACCTGGACCAGAACCTGGACCAGAACCTGGACCAGAACCTGGACCAGAACCTGGAGAACCCCTCCATCATCTACTGTTTGTGTTTTCATGAAACATTTTGGACAGAATCATGTGGCGTTTATGTACAAGAACAAGTCAAATCTTCCAGGCTGAAAGAATAAGAACAAATAGTTACAAATATAAATAAATTCAATTAAACAGAGGAAAGAAAAACAAACAAAAAGACAGAAGAACTGGCTCTGAAATAGATCCAGATGCTTGTTCTCCATCAGGTTTAAGGCTCTGGAGGGTTTTAAAGTTTTCCCATTTCCACATTTGCAGGATCAGCAGGTGGTTCTGGTTCAGTACCGGGTCGGTTCTTTTGGTCCAAATATTTTTTTCAAGAGGTGAAGGAGGAAGAGTTCAGCTGAAAGTTTCCCCAAAATGTTCCAGTTGGTCTGTTGCTTCAAAAAGTCCAGTTGTTGGGGTCAAAGTTGAATCTTTGTGGTGAAAGTTCGCTGGATGGAAAAACGTAACTGAGGATTTTAAATTGAACTTCTTTAGGACCCAGAGGATATTTAAGGTCAGCAGTTCTCCACTTATTGACCTCTGAACCAGATGTTTGACTGCAGGGGGTCAGAGGTCATCACTGTTAAACTGAGTGCGGGCGGTCCAGATTAGAAGCAAAGTTCCTCAACCAATCTCCATTATCGTTTAGAAAATGTCTAATGGACAGGAACCTTTTTCCATCCTTCGATCCGAACAGAATCATTCCTGCAGCTCGTCTCTGTTGCTCCAGATGGAGTTTGGAGAGGAGTAAAATTATTCATGTTCATAAGTTTCCAACACAACAAAACCTGCTGGTTAAAGGCAGATAAGTGACAGGAAGTCTCATCTAAGAACAAAATCTATGCATCCATTTTTCTAAACAAACCTCTGTTTGTTTAGAGCTAGAAAGGATTTCAACCAGTTTACCTTTAAGAGCACATTTACACAATCAAAGTCCATGGCCTGTGAACCTCCATCTTTACAGTCTTTCACCATATTCGCTTTCTTTAAGTAGTGCACTTTAATTTCCCCAGATGAAATCAAATGTATTTGTTAGGCATGGCCATAGAATAATGTGGGTAAATGCATCGGGTCAAACAGGGTCAGATCTCATTTCACTGCATTTTATTCCTGAGTTTCACTGAGTTTAACATCTTAACTGAGGATTTCTGTCAGATCAGCCATGAATCACCATCAGGTTGAATCCTGAAGCTTTGGAGAAACTTTTTATGAACTCAAGTACTTTAGGGGTTTAGTCTTTATCAGTGGTTCTTAACCCACCAGTTTTATTTATCACTTCTCTGGTGATAAATAAAATATGATTTTTCTTCCAAATTCAAGACATAGGTATATACTTTTTACTGATGCACAAAATGAGCTGTGCATGATCATCGCCTTGCTCAGCGAACAAAACCAACACAGCAGATTACAATATTACTTTATTCTGGCCCCTAAAAAATATTTCAGCCAATGAAAGAAATTCAGCTCCCCAAAATATTTTTTATTATTTTACGAATTAAAAATAAATTTGGATTTTTTGAAGAATTTAAAATAGTGTAATAACTTCATTATTTTTTATTTTCAATTTAATAAGCTTTTTGTCATTTTGAATCCACAAAATGCTTTTTTGGGGCCAGAATAAATGACATTCCTGCGAATCAGTGTGACTTCTGGAGACAAGCTCCTCTCACTCCGTTCCTGCTCTTCTTTTTTTGCCCGATACATTTAGGATGGATTAATATTTAAGAAAGAAACATGGCGTACAACTATGACATGAAATTCCCCGCTGCACTGACCCAGACCTGACCTAAGGTCAGCAGCGACTTTACCTCCGCAGAACCCGAGACCGACTCGTCGAACCCCAAGCGTTCAACAGAACCAGGCCAAGAACATCTGGTCCAGGTTCTTCAATAAAAATGTGGCATCATCAGAATGTTGACTGATCATAATTTGGTCACCAAACGTTTTTCTTTTATGTCTATTGGAGTATTTTATGAACAGGGAGAAACCTGTTCACTGTTGGTGGTGAAACATGGAGACCACCAGGTGGCGCTGCAGCTCAACCTGTTGTAAAAACTTTCTGTTATTCTGCAGAAGTTTGGCCCAAATCTAAATGTCTAAAACTTTGAAAAGAAACTGATGCTCCAACAGGTCAAAGGCTTTGAGAAGGGAAAGGATGAAGCCAATCAGGTCACTGCTAATCCTGCACCTGTCTGATGTCATCATCTTTTAAATAAAATGCCATCCTTAAGTCTTTAGTCTGTTTGTGTAGATAAACTTCAGATCACAGTTTAGATGGTGGTTGTCTAGAATCTTATTGTCTCTTACTGTATTGGTCCTGAATGAATGATTCATTCAATCATTCATTCATGATGATTGAATGATTGTTGATCATTCAATCATCATCAACAATAGATGATTGAATGATCATCTATTGTTGACCACTTCCTGGTCCATTACGTCATCCAAGCCTCGACCAATCACGGTTCAGATCCAAACGAGAACCTCTTACAGAGTTTAAATACAGGTTTGTATTTCATTCCAGCTCTTTATTGTTTAACAGATTTTCCTGTAGCGTCATAAATCCTGATTATTGGGTTCATATCCACGGAACCAGACGGTTCTGTCACCAAACGGAATTTGAAACATTTACTCTTAGCAGCCACTAAAACACAAATAATCCAAACAATCCGCCACCGAGTGTCAAACAGCTAAAACCTGAACAGAACCGGAACCGGGACCGAGCAGCAGCTGTCGCTGTGGGGAAATGCTTCAGTTTCCCACAGAAGCATTTTTCGCCACAACACCCCTGTTAGCCGTTTAGCCGTCCTGACTCACCACAGCAGCTCCTCCAGGTGTTCCACTAACACCTGGAGCCAGAACCTTCTCAGAATGGATCACAGCAGTCCGGATCACTTTGGTTCCGACCTGGAGAAGACAAAAACTCGGACTCAGACTCGCTGATTCTGACGCCAACGGCAGCTTCCTCTCTTGTTCTGTTGCAGCGGAAGTCGTGGAGGCCTCACAGCGCCCCCTGCAGGATGGAAAACTTGTTTTTACAGTTTGACTCGAGGCCACAGCTTCCAGTCAATCCTGGTTTCACATTAGATTTGATTCTGTAACTAACAGACTGGAACGCTAGAAATGACGTTGATGATGAAGGGAAGACCTTTAGAAGAGGAAGAAAAACAAAACGAGCCGTTTTCATCAGGAACTTCTATTGAACATGACACACACTTCGTTAAACTGATTCACACAAGACCAATATCTTCAAACAACAAAACCCAACTGTAAGTTTTTTCAAATCCTTCCAGAATCATTTATTCTGAAATTGTCATATTAGAAGGAAATTTAGCAAAAAATGTGATAAACATGTGATTATTAGAAATAAAATGAATTCATAAATGATGCTTCATTTCCAGTTTTGCATGGAGAGAAAATGAATGCAGGCAGAAAAACAATTAATCAAATTATATCAAGCAAATTTTCTACTCTCAAATGTTTATCTTCAATTTTGGAAATAAAACTTTAATTATCCACATTTAACTCATCAAATATCGTATTCCTTTTGGTTTTGAACTGAAAGATTTGGCCAATTGGTCTCAGTTTTACGTGGTTTTACATTGGTCTTCAAACGCATCATTGACAGGTCTGGATTAATTGATCTGTCGTCATGGTGACAAACTGACATCCGCCAAGCAGAACACAGAAGAAGAAATTTTCCTTTAAGACTTTTTATTTGAGCTGGAGACAATCCATCAGCTGAACATTAAGGTTGATGTGACCAGCTTCCTGTTTTCACAATAAAAGCCCAAACTTTAAATAAAACAAAATAAACTGATCCGACGGTGCCAGAACCGGGCCAATTGGATTCATAAACCAAGAATGTAACAAATGACAACAGAGAGTGAGAGTCATGTGACCGTCGTCCACGCCAGCTGATGGCCCACTGCATCATGGGAATCAGTATGGAGGCAGAGACATCCGGCGCAGCCCGGCAGATCCGCTTTAAGGCCGCGCCTTCATGAACGCCAACAGCTGAATTTCCCACTGAGCCTGAATGCAGCACGGCTGGGAGACAGGTCAGAGGTCAGATGATTCAGGAGAAGGTGGCGCAGCTCTAAGCGGAGGCGAAGGCGACGCGGTCGGCCTGGTTCATCTTCAGGTGCGTGTCGAGGATCCGGAACATTTCCTGAATGTTTGGAACGTAACCCGACTGCAGCTTGGACCAGACGGGAACGTCTGGGAAGACAAACAGCGTTACACCAGGAAGCTGCATGGTTCTGCACCAATCAGGACTCACCGTTCAGCGTGACCTCGAAGGCTCCCGTAGACAGGAAGTGAGTCTCCATCATGTTACTGATGAAGAAGGCCATCAGACACGAGAAGATCTGGAAACAGGAAACGCCAACGTCAGCATCTGTTGCTACGGCAACAGCACAGCAAGTCTGGTACCTTGTTGTTCTGAGTCCAGGTCCAAACCGCAGGCGTGTCGGTACCGAGGAGCGGGAAAGGGTTCTGACCGCTGATGATGAGGAGGATGGAGACAAGCTTCAGATACGAGACCAGGTTACCGATGAACCTGAGGAAGAGGACGAGATCAGGATGAAGGTCCCAGAACCGGAACCAGAACCGCAGCCAGAACTGGAGCTTCAATCTCACCTGTTGAGCGGGGTGGGAGGGTAGTTCTCCCCCTGGATGCGGATGTCTGGATACACCTGGCTGATGGCCTGGGAGTATTCCTGGAAGACTTTACTGTAGCCTCAGGAGATGCTGGACACACACACACACACACACACACACACACACACACACACACACACACACACACACACACACACACACACGCACACACACACACACACACACACGCACACACACACACACACGCACACATACACACACACACACACACACACACAGGTGACACACACACACACACAGGTGACACACACACACACAGGTGACACACACACACACACACACACGCACACACACACACACACACACACAGGTGACACACACACACACACAGGTGACACACAGATTATAATCTGCTTCAGGTCTGAACAGGAAGGTGCTGGAACATACAGAGAATATGTGAAACTGATTCTGTTTTCTTCATAGATTAATTCATGAATTTATGTGTTGGACACATTTGCTCTTTCCTGGAGACTAAATACTTGTTTTGAGTTCAGATCAAAAACCCATTCATATTCATAAAGTTCTTATTTCAATGATGTTCACAAAAAACCCCATAGAACTGCAGCGGTCCAGTGTGTTCCTGGGGGGAACAGAGCTTGACCTTGTGCAGGAGTTCAAGTACCTCAGAGTCACACTGGATCCAACACTGTCCTTTAAAAAACACATTAAACTCACAGCAAATAAAATCTAATTTCATCTGAATAACTTCAAACAAATCAGACCATCAATGACAATTAACTCAGCTAAAATGTTCCTGCACTCAATGGTATTTTCACACATAGATTACTGCATCACTCACTGGAGATACATGATTAAAACCTATAGAAATGTTATTCAAAAAATCGATAAAAAATTCTTGATCAAAAGCCTCTGTCTTATCATCAGTGTCATATTTTGGAAAAATATAACATGCTTAACTTTGAAAACTTTATTAATTTTAAAAACAGTTGCCTTATCTACAAAGTCCTTCATGGACTCGCTCCACCTCCACTTGCTATCTACTCTACACAAAGAGCCGAGCGAGGTCTGGGCACCAGGGCGTCTTCCAGAGGAGACTTGGAGATCCCTGACAGGAAAACAACATTTGGGCAAACGGTTCTGTCAGTCAGAGGGAGTCACTTCTGGAACAGAGAGTCTTCCACCTATAGCGCTTTTAAAAAACACCTGAAACTGTTTATTAAAACTTCCCAGACAGGTCATCATTTTAACTAACTTTTTAATGCATCTTTTGTGAATGTTTGTTAAATGTTTGTTAATTCTTGACTGTATGTTTATAATGTCTTTTTGTTGTTTGGGTCTCTTTGTCTAGGACTACAGATGGAAATGAGCAATTATGCTATAATCTGGCTCATTTACAGTCTATACAGTAGTGTTGATTGTTCATTAATGTGCACTGTCCTTAATAAAGACTAAAGATTATTCAAATGTAATTTTAAGCAAGGAATTTTAGAACTTAAAAAAAAATCACAAATAGAAACATGAAACAGAATATAAATCCTTCGAAGAGTCTAAACTTCTAGTTTCACATGACAGCCATGATCATCTCCAAGGAAATCTTAAGATTCCTTTAGTTATATGTGTGGCTTAAGCCTGTAAACTTTACTTTTCCATGTATGTATATGCCACGTGAATTTGTATAATTGTTAAGTAATTAATAAAAAAAAAAAAGATTCCTTTAGCGTGACGTCATCGCGCTAGTTGCTAGCCTGCATGCTAACTGACCAGTAGCGGAACTGGAGCACTGGGCCGGAGTACAGCGCCGCTTTTGGGGGTTTCCCGCTCTCCGGTTCGGTTTCTGGAAAGGCGCCGGTTTGACACATAAACATCCCGTAAGGTGAGGGCTGTGAAGAGCAGCAGAGCCGCGAGCAGACCGCCCGAACCGAACTCCGCCATGACTGCCGTCCTCCTCAGGGGCACTTCCGCCGCAGACTTTCACAATAAGAGGTGAAGGCAATTGGCTTTATCCAGAGATGAAATATTAATTCTGAGTAAATAAGCCATTCAGTTTTTCTGTTCCCAGCATTTTTCCACTTACATCCATTCATGAGGTTTAATTCCTTCTAATGCCTTCACGTGCTGTCTCATCTTAGCCACTGCATGCTTTTATTGTGAATAGAAAAGGTTGTTTCCGGTGAACTGCCGTCAAAACAGCTAACTAGTATTTTAACTGTATTTTTGTTTAAGTTATTTTTGTAGTTTTTTTGTTTTTTTTTAATCTCGATTTTATTTTTTCTTGTTGTTTTTGTTTTTCCAGCATGGTCTACGTCATACCTCCGCGCCGCATTGGTCAGTGACGTCATGTTTGAGTGACGCTCGGTCAGTTATGGGCTGCTGTGAGACAGACTGCTGATGAAGGTGAGGAAGAGGAGTTTTCTTAGCTTTAAAGTCACGTGGTCACCATGCTCACCGTGGGGGTGCTGGTGAGGTGCAAGTCCTGCAGCCACGAGCACGTGACTTTCTGAGCAGGTGGGCTTCTCCTGTCCTTCCCTTCACCTGTCCAGCAGAGTCTCGCGTGAGGCCGGCGTCTGGGCTGGGAGGAGCCAGCGGCGCAGGTGGATGGTACGGCAGCCTGTCAGAATCCGCTCCAGTTCACCTGTGTGAGAACTTCCTGGTCAGCGCGCACCAAGTGAGCGGGTTGCCATGGTGGCTGAGCATCGCTATGGCAACAGCGTCCATCAGGACCTGCGTCACCCTGCCGCTGGCCGCCTACCAGCTGATCATCATTGCCAAGGTAGGTGGAGTTCAGCTTCATGAGCGAGACAGGGACCAGCTGTGGACTGATGTTGACCTCAGGTCACATGCTTCCTGGTAACCATGGCAACCTGCATGTGCTGCAGGTGGAGGCGCAGGTGGAGATCTCTGAGCTGGCGAAGAGACTTCGATACGAGGTTTCAGTCCGAGGGAGAGAACGAGGGTGGACGGACAAGCAGAGCAGAGGATCGACACCAACCACCTGGTACCAGGTCTGGGTTCTGGTTCTGATCGGGTTCTTCTGGCACAGTCTGCAACCGGGTCGAATCAGGTGGTTCTGGTTCCTCCTCAGTTCCAGGTGTCTTCCTGCTCATCCATCAACGCTTTTCTTTCTCCCCATCTCAATGTATTGCATTAAAAATGGTTGATGGAAATGACAACCTGAAATTACCTGATCAGTTTGCAAAAGTGTTTCTGTGCTCGCTTGAGGCATAAGAGTTAACACGTTAAAGCCGAGATGGAAACAGGTTTGCTGAACAAGTTTCTAACGTAGCAAACGCTGCCGTCTACTGGTGGGTGTGAGCCGTACCAGAGGCACCAAACTCGAGAAGAATCTCCCTGCAGCACACAGGAAGGGGCGGGACGGACCGGTCAGTCTCATGCCTTATATGATTTAGAAATGTAATTATATTAGTTGTGTTGCTACCCCACGCCACTGGAGGCAGTATCAGGCCCCAAAGGTGGAAATATCACAGATTTCAAAGGAAAATAAAAACAATAACCGCGGATAATAAAGAAAATAGCGCCCCCTTCACTTTCAGAGTGCAATGGTCCCATTTCCATATCAGGCATGAGACTGACAGCGGTCCGTCGCCCGTCCTGCTTCCTGCAGCCAAGCGTAGCGTCAGCAGCATCTGATGACTTTGCATAACCTAGTTGATTCCAAACCATCTGGATCAGGGGAGCTCAAACTTTTTGAGACTAAGATCTACTTTTTCTCTCACCAGCCGGCTGAGATCTACCTCATGACATGAAGACATAGAAATTATAAATGAAACCCTATTGACTCATTTTCTATGCAAATATCCATCAGTTTTATCAGAAATGATAAGTGATAGAAATGATAATGCAGTTTCTTCCTCAGTGAGATTCTGACTCTGGAAGCAGGTTACTGGTTTCAGTAGGTTACTGGTTTCAGTAGGTTACTGGTTTCAGTAGGTTACTGGTTTCAACAGGTTACTGGTTTCAGTAGGGTTACTGGTTTCAACAGGTTACTGGTTTCAGTAGGTTACTGGTTTCAACAGGTTACTGGTTTCAGTAGGTTACTGGTTTCAACAGGTTACTGGTTTCAGCAGGTTACTGGTTTCAGCAGGTTACTGGTTTCAGTAGGTTACTGGTTTCAGCAGGTTACTGGTTTCAGCAGGTTACTGGTTTCAGTAGGTTACTGGTTTCAGCAGGTTACTGGTTTCAGTAGGTTACTGGTTTCAGTAGGTTACTGGTTTCAGCAGGTTACTGGTTTCAGTAGGTTACTGGTTTCAGTAGGTTACTGGTTTCAGCAGGTTACTGGTTTCAGTAGGTTACTGGTTTCAGCAGGTTACTGGTTTCAGTAGGTTACTGGTTTCAGTAGGTTACTGGTTTCAGCAGGTTACTGGTTTCAGTAGGTTACTGGTTTCAGCAGGTTACTGGTTTCAGCAGGTTACTGGTTTCAGTAGGTTACTGGTTTCAGCAGGTTACTGGTTTCAGCAGGTTACTGGTTTCAGTAGGTTACTGGTTTCAGCAGGTTACTGGTTTCAGTAGGTTACTGGTTTCAGTAGGTTACTGGTTTCAACAGGTTACTGGTTTCAGCAGGTTACTGGTTTCAGTAGGTTACTGGTTTCAGCAGGTTACTGGTTTCAGTAGGTTACTGGTTTCAGTAGGTTACTGGTTTCAGCAGGTTACTGGTTTCAGCAGGTTACTGGTTTCAGTAGGTTACTGGTTTCAGCAGGTTACTGGTTTCAGTAGGTTACTGGTTTCAGCAGGTTACTGGTTTCAGCAGGTTACTGGTTTCAGTAGGTTACTGGTTTCAACAGGTTACTGGTTTCAGCAGGTTACTGGTTTCAGCAGGTTACTGGTTTCAGTAGGTTACTGGTTTCAACAGGTTACTGGTTCCAGCAGGTTACTGGTTTTAACAGGTTACTGGTTTCAGCAGGTTACTGGTTTCAGTAGGTTACTGGTTTCAGCAGGTTACTGGTTTCAGCAGGTTACTGGTTTCAGTAGGTTACTGGTTCCAGCAGGTTACTGGTTTTAACAGGTTACTGGTTTCAGCAGGTTACTGGTTTCAGTAGGTTACTGGTTTCTCAGTCAGAAGCTGGTTGTAAACCTGAGGCCAGCAGCTGTCAGTCAGTTATGGTGGATCTGAAATTTGGTTTGATGACGTCAATATGAGAAACTGCAGACTGATGGGAGGAAGCAAAGAGCTCTGCAGAGAGAAAAGCAAATCTGCTGAATTTGGGATATAATTAATGTAATTTGACACAATTATTGTGGTAGAAGCCATTTGTTTGTTAAAACTTAATCAAATATATTTGTCCTATTTGATGTTGGTTGTGACGTTTACTGCAAACGAACGAGGTCATCAGTCCAAGTCTGTCGTTTATTGAATGTTCAGAAACTCCAGCGGCTGTGATGAACCACAGCGAAGGAAGACAAAGTAGAATAACCTGAACAGGTGATCAACTCAGAACCACTCGCACCTTTTTACTCTTTTTCTCTCTTTATTGTTAAGCACACCCGTTGCCGTGGCAACCGCCTGCGCCCCGCAAGCCGAGCAAAGATTATGTTAAAAATGTTCAGTCCGTTACGATATCAGGTTTCAGGCTTTATTATTATTTAATGAAGCTACAAACGTTTTGGATCTTAGTGAATATTTTGAAAAGTCTGTCAGAAGAGGAAGTGCTGCTCTCAGCGTCCTGCAGAGATCCACTCAAAACCTGATGCAGATCGACCGGCAGATCGCGATCGACGTATTGAGCACCCTTGATTTAGACAGAATCACTTCCTTTTGTTTTTTTGTTGCAACTTTTTAAAAATTTCCTCAAAATTGGAATGAAGGTTAGATAGAAACATGGAGTTCTCACACACTCTTTCTTCTCACGTTTCAGATTGTAAAAGTTATTTCTGGAAGAATGGAACCTAAATGAAGAAGTTTAAAGGACCAGTTTGTTTTCCTTTTTATAGCCCAATCCAGTAACTATGTTTCCTTCAGTTGTTATAACATGTTATATACATCAATTATGGCTCAATATTAATAGAAATGTGCCCTTCTGATTTAACTTCTTAAAATTGGGTCTCTGTGTCTTTAACTCCTGCTCTGAAGCTCCGCCTTCAGGAAGTCGTCCCAACATGGCTCCTCTTTAACCCTTTAATGTTTTTACTCAGAGCTACAGCTCCTATAATGAGCTCAGCAGCTGATTGCTAATTGCTGGTGGCTAGTCTGAAGGAGCTGATTGGGGGAGGAGCTGTCCCTTGAAGGCGGGCTACGTCCACCCAGGCAGTTAGCAGCTGAATGGTTGCCATGGATATTAAAGGACTTCTCAAACATGAAAGAATCGGGGTTGGACCGAGTCCCGAAAGGAACCGGAGTTCTGTTTCTGGGCTCTGAAAGGTTCTGATTCTGTTCACAGGGTCCAGTTTCAGAAGAACCTGCGGCGTCTGGTTTCGCAGCTCTACGTCCGGGACAACTGCCACCCGTTCAAAGCCAGCCTGCTGGTCTGGGTCCAGCTGCCGCTCTGGGTCGGCCTGTCTCTGGCGCTGCGGAACCTCAGCCTGGACCGGCCAGGTAGGTGCTGGGTTCTGGTTCTGGTTGGGTCCTGGTTCTGGTTCTGGTCTGATCTCGTGTGTTCCTGTGCAGCGCTGCATGACGAGCTGGCAGCAGGAGGCGCTCTGTGGTTCCCGGACCTCACGGTACCGGACTCCACCTGGGTCCTGCCGGTCTGCCTGGGCCTCACCAACCTGCTCATCCTGGAGGTCGGTCTGGGGGCGGAGCCACGCCAGCTGGACAGTGATGTCATCGCGCTGATGTCATCTCTCTCTTCTTCTTCAGGTGTTTTCTCTGCAGAGTCGGAGCGTCGCGTTTCCAGCGGCTGGTTCTGAACGGGTTCAGAGGGTTCTCGGTTCTGATGATCCCCATCGCTGCCTCTGTCCCGTCGGTGAGCTAAACGAGTCAAATTAGATC